GAGGATGCGGTGAACACCCCGTTGCCGCTGCGGTCCCGTCCCTCACATCTCCTGGGTCCCACAGGGCCTGGACACGGCCTGTGCGGGGCTGGCAGGGCTGGCAGGGCTGGGGGAGGAGGCTCCTCAGCTGCCTGCTCGCACCTGCCGGCGCTCGCAACTGCAATTAGTTGCACCCGGTCGAAGCCAAATTGAGGCCCCTTTCAAACCGCAACTCTGTGCGTTTTGTTTCCAAAGGGAAGTTCATCTTTTATGTGCATGCAAAATGGATAAAACCCGAGGAACCTTTTTTTTTTTTTTTATTCCTCCCTCCTCCCTTCTCTCAGTCAGGCAGGAATTTGTTTAAAAACACCCGCTGCTGAGGCAGGGAGATGCAGTGGGCTGAGGTCTGTAGCGATCCTTCTTTTGTGGCATGGGAGAGGTTGGCTTTTTCCAAAGAGCAGGCTCGGCGTGTGGCCTGCTCATGGTGGCGGGATCCCCGGTGTGGGTGGGCAAGCTGGGCCTTCCGCCCCGTTTGGGAATCCTGTCTCCTTCATTCTGAGCAAGGAGATGATGGAGAAAGGAGGGGCGGGTGAGCTTTCTGTGGGGAGTTGAAAGCCCCTCTGGGAATCAGCATGGGTAGGGACTGATGGACACCAGGCAGCCTTTCCCGTGCCCTCCATCTCCTCCCTCCTTCCACATTGTTTTTCCTGCATCTGCATCCTGCTTCAGCCAGGTGTGGGCGCCCCTTCCTGAGGGTGTCCCCAGCGCATGGATGGGTTCCTCGGGAGGCAGAGCCCCCTCAGCCCGGGGAGGTGCTGACTCCGCGGTGTGCGGGGGATCCGGCAGCCACCACATTAAGAGGATTTACAAAGGAGATAAGGCGCAGCGCTGAGCTTCCCTCCGTAATCGTGCTGTGCACAATTCGGGGCTGCGCGGGGAATTTCGGCGCAGCTGACAGGTACACAGCGCTGATCCAATTGTCCTTACAGCCGCTATTAGCCAAAATAAGGGGCAACTGGTATTACAAATGATTTCTGGGTAAATGCTTAGCTCCGGTGCTGAATGATCTCCCAGCAATAATCCACACATAATCCTCAATACAGAGACTCTGCTTTAAAGGCAGCTCCATTTTGAGCAGGCCTCAATAATGCATGGATGTCCTGATTCAGAAAATAAAGGGGAGGAGGGAACAGGAAAGCCACTTTTGTTTTACAGAATTTTTTTCTGGGTTGAAAAGAATTAAGGAAGTGTGTGATCATGTATGTATTATTTATTAAGAAAAGATTACCTGCTTGGTAATTATTTCTTTGGGAGAATAATTTTAACTATGATGACTGCATTATGACTGTTTCAGGCAGGTCTGATGTATCGAGAAAATAAACAAATGAACAAAAATCTCCTGTAATGACTCAGTTCATGATGTTTATTCCTCAGAACACTCTTGGTGACTTGATGTGAGGGAATGAGTGTGCTGATAGTTAACACCTTCTCTCTTTTCTGTGCTTCCTGATGTGAAAGGTTGCCTAGTCCAGTGGCACTTATGCAGCCCCACCAGCAGGGCACCTGAGAGCTCTGCAGTGTTTGGTGCATTGGATGGCCTCATCACAGCCCCACGAAGTGAAGCAGGAAAATGTGCTGCTCCCAGAGGCACAAATCCCAGAGAGGAGCAGGTGATTCTTCCGAAAACCATCTACTCATTTTGGATGCCTGGTGCTGGCATGAGACCCAGAGCTGGGTTTTCAGAACCTCTTAGCACCCACTCCAGCACTTATGCCTGGCTATTTATCTTCTTTGAAGACTGCTCTTCCTACAACAACTTGATTGCCAGAGAGTGGGCACAGAAGAGTTTGATTCTGCAATAATTACTCTGTGAGTAATCCTTGGGTAATCCCGGGAGGCTTTACCTGGCTGACTAAGGACTCTTTGCATTTTACCAAATCATTGGATATATCCTCTACAAATATTTTTGGCCACTGCTTCCACTAGGGCTTTCAAGGGAACTGGAATAGGTTTTGTAACCTCTGGTAAACTTTAATTAACATTTTAACCAATAGGCTCAGCTCTTGGTTATACAATAGAAAAGTGTTGGAAACCATATTTATTCATCATGAATCATATTCTCCTAGCTACCTGCTACAGACAGGAAAGGAGGCCCTGCCAAATGCCACAGGAAAAAAAAAATTCTGCTAGCAAATTCTGAAAAAGCAAACAACATTTTCATAGTTTGTTTACTCATTTGTTCCTTAAAAGAGGCAAAGGAATCTGTGAATCAGAAGAATTTCCATCTCAAAAAACTGCTTTGTCTTGTAATTTAAGATTAAGCGATTGAATTTCATGCAGCCCTGCTTAAAATTCACTACCCCACACCCCATCACCATACGCATAAAAAACCCTACACAACAGCCTCGCCACCACCTCCCCCAGCATCTCTAAGGTCTACTATAAGTAAGTAAAAAAAATGTCCAATCAGCTGGGAGGTCACAAAATGTACTTAATGAAGATGTTGCCTGCGTGCCTGCCGGATTTTCCCCTTGCAGCATTCGCAGCCTATCAGGCAGTTCCCGTTCGGATGCAGTGCCAGTGCTGGGCTGACTTCAATCAGGCTTACAATTCAGCAGAGCAGAAAGGCCTCCTTCCCTCCATCACCTGAAGCCAGCGCTGATTCATCTCTTCAGGCCCATTCCTCCTGGCCTTTCTATGAATTTGCCGATCGCTGAATCATTTTTTTCCCCCTTTTTCTTTTCTTCCCCCCTTCCCCTCTGGAGTGTCCGGGCGCTGAATGCAACACGCTTCGTTTTGAGATCTGACTGAAAGGGAATATGGAAATTAATTGGCTCGGGCTGCTCCCAGCCTTTTCCACGTGCCTGTACTATGTAAGAGGTGCCGTGCAATTGCCTTTCCATTGTGGCTCCCCACCAGCCACCTGTCTTCTCACACACACTGCCACGGCTGCTCTCAGCCCGGGCTCTGGAGATGGATGTCCCCTTCCTCTCCCTATTGTGCAAGAGGGAGGGCAGCTGGCAGGGCTGTCCTGCTAAGGGCTGTAACTGCCCTGCTTGACTCAGAACAGGCCAGATTTAGTGAATTCTCTAGCTTGTGGTAAATAGCGTGTGACTGGTGCCTTGGCAAGGGCTGCAGGGGGATGTACAGCACAGTGTCACTGCTGTTGAAATGATTATTTGTTCTGGCTACTGGAAGGAGAGCCCAGTTGAAAGAGAGCAGCTAGGGGATCTGCCTCCTCCATGGGAGCGTGGTACTGGGACCCTTTCAAGTTGGGGTATAACCTCACCTCAGGAGAATGCTCCATCCCAAACATGCTGTCCCATGGTTCTGTGGCTTTTCCAGCTCCATGAGAAAGACAATGCTGGGCAGAAAGAAGGCCTCATCTCCATGTCTTGCAAGGGGGAAGAACAAGATCTTACAGCCAGCCAGGAGGGTAATGTCAGGCAGGCCAGGAGCACCTACAACAGGGGAATGGCTCAGACACCACTCTGGGTCTCTAGAAGTACCTCAGCACTTGCTGGGGGACAACAGGCTCTTCTGAAGGGTGGATGGTACAAAACTTACCCTGACTCAATCCCTTGATGGAAGGGAAAATCTGAGCTCTAATTTTCAGGAGGATGTTGGTCATTTGTGCTGATTGTTTTCTGTTTGGAGGCTTTTCAAGGAGTGGTTTTTGGAGTTCTGAAAAAGGACTTCCTGTGCCCAGAAGAAGCTGGTCTAATTTTCCCACCTGTAATAAGTTGGTCTTTAAAAAGCCATTGTCTCTACACACAGACTTTGTATTAGCTATGTCCTTTGACCAATGCAGTCACCACAAAACTACTTTGAGACTGCTATGGCATTCAGCAGCAGATCAATGGCACAGACACTACAGAGCCTGCAACTGCTCAAAACCAGGAATAAGAATTTTTAGGTAGAGACATTCTGACCTATGGCATCAGCCCTTGTGTTCTCATCTCAGCAGATTGATGGTATGAGCACCACTAGGTGCTGGTGAGTTGTTTGTATTTTCAGGTCTTGGGATGCCTCAGACTCTGGCAGTACTATAGGTCTGATGCTGCCTGTGATTTCTCTGGCATGATGCCCATTTTCCTCTTCCATCTTTGCACTGCCTCTTGCCCAAGGAGTCATGGCCTACAAGAAGGACCATTTCCTATTATCAGTACAATAGCCGTAAATGAAAGAGCATGCACATTTGTAATGCGGTATCACTTACTGAGAAGACATGATCTCAGGTACACTGGATGTCAGAACCAAATGAGAAACTTTCCTCCTAGTTTTATCACAATTTTTCCCAGAGCAACTGCTACTTGCATTCTGGAAATTTACAGGGTGAAGGATTTTGTCATGATATCTAATTCTAATCTGGAGTGATTTACTGTTAAGTTGAAAATCAAGCCTGTACATATCCCCCTCCAAGTGGTTTCTGTGACAGTTTCTATTAACCATAAAAATGTCACTTGCTAGGAAGTATCAGCCTTCTTATAGGCTTTGCAATCATCACTACAAGATGCACACTAACTGAATGGAATAAATAATAGTCTCGTACAATTAGCCTAGGATGCAGGACGTGTCTGGCTATCTCTCTTGGCTCCAAAGTGAAGTTTTCACAAGGAAACCCATGTACTAGGAGATGAGATCTATGTGAATTCTCTGGAGTTCTTGAGAACTTGAAATGTTGTAAAGCCTTAAGGATAAAGCCAACAGTTTTGGTGCATATCTTTGTGGTTTTGGTCTGTGTAAGACAACTTAAGTACTCATCTTACTTCATTCTGATCAAGTAAAAAAAAAAAGAAAAGTGTTTATTCTGTCACTTACAATGGGTTTTGAAATACTCTACTGGCTCTGTGGTGTTTCCTGCTGTTGCACAATCACAGTAAAATCTGTAGTGTGGGGTTGCACTGTAACCACTCTGTCCCCATCTACCCTTCAAGGAAATGACACACAGAGCCCTTCTCGAGCCTGGGGCTGTGGATGGGGGCTGCTGTCCGTGGGATGTGTTAGCAGTGTTGAGACACAGATTTGAGTTAATTTGGTCCTCAGGTATGAGCTGAAATGAGAGTTTGTGTTTGTGTCATGTTCTGCCAGAGCTCTGAGCCACTTGCACTTAAGGTCTCTGCTGTTGGTGGGGAGCTCAAGCAATCAGTCTGAGTACAGAAAATGACACTTAATGGTTTCCCACATTTTAAGCCATATTGTGAGCAGAAGCCATAAAGAAAGTTGTAACTTGGACCTTCATTGCTGTGTTTGCATCTGAGGACTGGAGTCCAGGGGGCTGCAGAGCTGGAGTGGTGGGTCTGTACTGCATGAGACACATTACCCTTGCAGCAGCAGAAGCAAGAAGCCTGTTTACATCTGTCTAGAAGAACAAAGTCATATTCTCCACTTCTATGCACCATTCTGACTACTGAGGTCACTGAACTTTGACTTGTGGGTCGGGGAAAAAAGTTCACTGTGTAGGAGTTTGCAGCTGGCACAAGGAACAGAGGGAAATATCAGCAACCTCTACAGAGCACTTGGATCCCTTGATGAAGTGAACTTCCAGTGCCTGGATAGATCTGAAAGAGTAAGGGGAGAAAGAAAGCATTTGGTCACATTTCGAGAGCAAGGACGCTGTATTTGAAAGTAGAAGCTCTGAGAGGGACACGTGCTATGACTTCAAAAAAACATCTGATCATACCAGGAGCACCATCAGTGCAGGGAGCTGAGTGTTGAGAGTCATGCAAACAGCAGCTCCTGTACTGTGCTGGGCAGGGCTCATGAGAGAAGATACAGTAGGCAACGAAGGGGTTTAGCTCCTTCTCCCCTCTTTGTCTGCTTTTTAAAGGCTGTTGTGAAAGTGGAAAGGGTTAAAAAATGTCTGGAAGAATGATTTGCAACTTGTCAAACCTGCTGTAGAAGGAGAATATGAACATGCTCATCCTATCAAACTCAGAAAAAGAAATCATGAAGTATGACTTCAGCACAGGCAGAGGCATCTAGTCTGACATTAGAAGGCTTTTTGTCTTTTATCTACCAAATACATATATATTCCAGAAAAAAAAAGCCCCTGTGTGTCCCTTGCCCATGGAATTTATACAGATTTATAAAGTAAAGTTAGATTTATAAAATATTATACAATATATATTTCTAAATGCTGTTGTCAGAGGGAAAAGTGCCTGTGGTTTGTTTGTGACTGCAGAACCCGTGATGAACACCTAGAATGTTCCTCTCCTGGAAACGCTGTTAATTGTTTTTTCACATGATGAAATTGGTTTGAAGCAATTTCGCTGTCCCTTGAAGTCTTGTGAAAACAGAAAACAGAATATATTAGTACAGGAAAAGATGATGCTCACAGTTGTCTAAGAACTAAAAAGCCATGTGTATTCTTTAAAGTCTGTGGGATGAGGCTGCTTTCTTCACTGCAGTGTTAACACATGCACCTTGGAGACTCTCATCTCAGCCAGCATCTGAACATGCTCTTGCATTTCATCCGATGGCTCAGGAGCAAAAGCACCAGCTTATATTCAGCAACATGTAGCTCCAAAATCAATGTCAGCTAAGCATTTTCATTGCTAACAAATTAAACATTTTCACAGCTATTATTTGGACTGAAACTTGATAAATAGAATTGGTGGACTCTGATGAAGCTGAATTCTCCAACCTGTGAACCTTCTTCTCTAAGTGAGACAGGTGAGAGAAAAGAAAAAAGTAGCTTGTGCATGTTTTCATCCTTGCTGTCTGTGACGTGGCTCTTGAATGGATGAATGTTACCAGAGAAAAACTGTATTGGTGAGAACTTTGTACAGAAAGATCCAATTCAAAAAGTGAGATTTGAAGGCCAAACTGAAGGAATTCTTTGTGTTTCCAAATTTCAGCTCAGTGAGAGTTTGAGAATTAGTTGGGCCAGAGACTTTTCCACACCCCAGAATGATAGCAGGAACATATACACATGCTGTGTACAAAGGCACTCCCTGAAAAAATGAAATTGAGCTGATAATTGGAAAGGTGCCAGACTGATGTAAATGGGAAATCAAAGACATTCATCTCATCTTCAGAGCAGATATGTCAAAACCAAAGCTTCCCCACAGAGTGGAAAACTCATTGGCCAAGTTTTGTTTTAGTGTTTGTGAGGAGAGACTTGGTACCCACAGGATCATCCCAGCTCACTTCATGACTGAAGCTTTACCATTATCATGTATTAGATTTCCCCAAAGCAAATAAAGTATTGAAATTGGAGTAAAGTATTGAAATTGCAGTGGAGACAATACATAAATTTTAACTATGTCATAAACCCTAGTTTAGATGGATATAATAATAAAGAAGTTTGAGACCCAGATAAACTGAAGATTTTGTCTTTAAAAAAAAATCCCAAGCAACCCAAGCCTGCTCAGTCTCCACTTCTAAAAATGTCTGTACAAACAGACTTAGCATTGACTTTACATTGCCTCATCTATGTTCAGGCCACAGGAGCACGTAGAGAGAACCAAGAGTTTTCTGGCAAGCCAGAACACAGCTTTTCCCATGGCAGCTCCTGGAACGGAGTCTGAAGATCCCCACTCATGTCCCACTCACTTTATGGATGTCCTCAGGATCTTGTCTGAGCACATCTGAGTGTTTGTACAGCACCTGATGCAAACAGGCCCCCGTCCCACTTCATTTATCAAATGATAAATAAGATGATAATACCATAATTGAAGTCACTCATAGACAGTGATCACCTCGTGATTCAGTACAACACAGACCTGCGAGGTGGAAGACTGCACTAAGCTTATGCAGAGATTTCTATCTTGCCCATCAGTCTCTGCACGCTAAATATATTCTGACTCTAGAAATGCTGGTTTTAAGGTGAGATTTTCTCTACCCAAAGTGATTAATTTTTGTAATGCCAGAACAAAACCATCCAGCCACTTCTGAGTTATGTGACACTGAAAGACAAGGTATTGATAATGTTGCTATTAACTGCTGAATCAAGACTCACTGATAGCACATATTATAATATTTATTGGGCAAGGAACACCAATACATAGAGAGGTGGAAGATATGAAACTTCAGAGAGTTTATGCCCTCCAGTGAGCAACATCTGATCCAGAAATCAGGCTCTAGCAATGAACAGTGCAGAGAAAGTATGCCTGAATTAATGCCTGGGACCTGGCTGATGCATACCTCATAGCTAATCTGGTTACGTGGGGTTTATTTCGCAGTCGGAAGTTCTTGCGCTGGAAGAGAGTCCTGCTGGGGTTTTCTGAGCACACGGCAGAATTAATGAATGAGCCAACGCAGCTTGCCAGCCCAGATTTAAATTGCTTACTAGATCAAAATCTGTTCATTTTCTCTGTCCTTATTTCCAGCCTCTCTGTCTTTTATTTATTAATTTATTTGAGGAAACAGATAAAGAGCACAGAATGTGCCTGCAGACGTCATCGAGGCAGTAAGTGCAGATAAAGGGCTGTTTTCCAGGCTGGCCTGAGCCCTGGCACCACGCTTTGAGCCACGGTGCTGGGCAGGGAGGTCCCTGGCAGAGGCTGGCTGGGGGCTGGTGCTGCTTGTGGGGCTGGGGGTGTGAGGAGCTGTGGCTGCACAGCCCCCAGCCCTTACAACCCTGCTGCCCTGAGCCTCTCACTGGGCCCCAGCAGCCCTTTTCTACAGCCCCTTGGGCTTCACTGCATTAAAGCAGTGAAAAAGCAAGATATAAACCCGGGCTGCTTTGCAGGAAGGGTCACGTTTTTCTATCTTTCAGATCCACGCTGCCTTTGGTATTAGCCAGTTGTCAGGCTTTAATGGGCTCTTGCAAACAGGATATCTGGAATATTTTGATTTATTTGGCCACTGGGCAGACCTCCAGCCTGCCGTCTTGACTGCGGTGTTCGTATTTTAATAGGAGTTTTAAGAAGGCTTAGTTAGGGGTATTTAAGGTAGTCCCTGAGTTTCCATGCGGACTTTTCAGCTCCGACCGAAAACACATCACCAAGGAGATGCGGCGGCAGGTTTTTACGAATCAGAGGGATCCTGTAGACGTGCCGCTGTCACTGCCCTCCCAAAGACCCTTTCAGAAGAGCCAAGCTCCTCTCGCACCCTCACGGCTCCTTTCGGATCCCGCTGTCTGGACTCCTTAAGTGCGTGTCCCCCCGCGCTGCGCAAGGCCAGGATGCAGGCAGCGCTCCGCGGCAGGAGCGGGGCGCTGGAACAGGAGCGGTGGATGCCGGCTCGCCCCCATCGCCCTCCCCAGCCCCTGCTTGGCGAGGCCGGGCATCTCCCTGCGAGCCCCGGCACTGGATGTGCTGCAGGGAGGCGGCGTTTGGCCGCTCCGAGCTCCAGACAGCCCGAGACGCCTCCCCGGGATCCGGGCTGCGCTCTCCGAGCGAAGGCGAAAGGAGACAAATGTCGCTCATTCGAGGTGAAGGGCAGTGCTGGCATGATGGAAAAGCAGCCTGTGCTCTCTGCCAAAGACTGGAGACCTTCCTGAAGATTCACTGCTCTCCAGTTTTCTTTATGCTCTTATTTTAGAGCTTATGGAAAGAAGAGGCTGATAATCAAGAGAGATGCTGCCAATATATCCAGGTATCCTGAGCTGCACTGCCCCTGCTCTTCCTCACTCTCCTCTCCCTGTGCTGCCAACACAGGCTGAGCAGGGATGGATTGCTCTGCTGCCTGGTGCAGTGCAGGCGTGCAGGCATCTGCTGCTGCAATATTGACCAGGTTTGCTTTCCTCAGCTAGAGACTGCACTGTGAATTACCTCCAGATCTCTGGAGGTGCAAGCTCAGTGTGCAGAGCACTCTGCCTGCTGCTGGCTTAACCCTGCCTGTTTGGACCCCAACCCCTGGGGATGATGAGGCACTTTTCCTCCACAGCATCCCAAAAGGAGCTGAAGAACTTCAGAAATGAAAATCTGCTTTGAAGGTGTCCCAGTGGTCACCTCACTTCTCTGGGAGGCAGTTTGGTAACTGAAAACCAAACTGGGGAGCAGAGTCAAACTCCCCAGCCACAGCCTGGAAGAAACTAAAGCAAGGAAGAAGATTTTAAAAGGCTCCTCAGAGCCCAGCACACCAGTTGTTTAGCTGGAGGTTTTGTCAAGTCTCCTCTGCTGGTGTGAGGCCCTTCAGAGCCAAAAAGCTGCAAGCAGATGCCCTCCTTCCTCTCCTGCTTCTCCCCACAGGGCAGGTGGAGGGGAACACACCGTGAAGAAGGGAAGCTCGAGGCCTCACTGTAAGCTGGAGCTGGAGCTCAGTGTGCCCACACCCACACACCCCTCCAACAGCAACCAGCTACCCCGAGAGAAGGTGTGATCTTGGCACATTCCCGGGATCCATGCAGAAGGATGGCAACACGAGGGTGGAATATCAAGGCTTGAGAATATATCAAGGTTGAGTAAAGGCTTGCCTGGGTGGTGAAATGTTCATGAAGTGGCACACTGATGAAGGAGGAAAGATGCAAAAGGCAGCCCATCATAACTTCACCAGCTTGTGCTACCAAGCATCCCTTGAAATGCTAATTAACATGAGTGGAGGGAGAGGAGCCTGCTAGCAGGATCACAGCCTTGCTTGGATTGAGTAATAAATGTGTAGTAGGCATCCGTGTTTTCCTCTACATGTGTCTTCCAAGCTGAGTTGGCTGAAAATGTTGCAGTTTTGTGAAACCCACACAGAGTAGGATGCAAACACAGACTAGATAGAGAGGCAAGGTCTAGGCATGAAGCTCGAATAGAAAAAGCCACGACAGTCTTCTGCGAATAAATAAATAAATAAATAAGTAACTGCGCGAAATGAGGGCTAATTAACTTGCAATAAACCAACTTAACCACTTAGGGGCAGCGTTAACACAGAGTTAACATGCAAAACAAACCTGTGCTTTCTCACCTGGTTAATTTAATGTGCGCCGTGAATATTCATAGTGTATGAAATCCTGGTACATCAACACATCGAACGATGCAGTCTGTCAAAGCCGGGAACGTGTGGCGAGAGGAGTAACTCTGGCGGCTCGACTTTGATCAGTTACTGTTTCTAAACACATTCGTGGAGGAGGTAGGACTCTGCTGCTTTCCCTCTGTCAGGGTCACAGAGTGTGTTCTACACAAAGATTAAAACCTAAAAAAAATGAGATAGGAAAGGGCTTCACTTAAAATAAACATAAAGAAAATCAAACAGGAAAAAAAAGGTGTCTTTGAGAAATGCTGCTCTTGCATGCAGGAGCTGAACTCCCCATTTTATCTCTGTGGCCACATTCAGAGTCACTTTGCTCTCAGACAATACGTTTCTTTCTCTACACTGCATGCAAAAAAGTCCCGGTTCCTTGGATTCCTCTGAAACATTTCCCCGCATAAAAAGGAAAGTGTTTCGGGTATGTTTACACTTCCAGATCAGAACCCGTAAATAAAGAAAAGGTGCCCTTTTTTTAGTGTGACTCGACTAAATTGAGTTAGCTCCGTCAGAAAAAAAAAAAAAAAAAACCAAAAAAAAAAAAAAAAAAAAAACCCACAGTGACATGTTCTGACATTTATTTATTTATTTATTTATTTAGTTATTTATTTATTTTTAAAGGGGGCTAGCAGCTTGAATTCAGACTCAGGCAAACCTCATCTTACCTCAGCGTCCTTTTAACCTGAGGTACTAAAAGCACAACTTTCCCCCTGCTCTTCCTGCCGCTCCTCCTCTCTCCTCTGCCCTTCCTCCTCCCCTTTACCAGCACGTTTACAAGCTCAGGCACGGCTTGCCAGTGTCCCAGCCTCACCTTTCCAGCACCAGGTGCCCCGGCTGCTCTGGCTGGGCTCGCAGGCTGTGCCTGGTGCTCCTGGCAGCTGCCGGGGCTGTTCCCCCTGGCAGCGAGTGCCAGGTCCATGCACACCCGAGCCCTCGGCAGGAAGAGCAGCCCCGGATCAGGTGCAGGCGTGTGCTGACATTTCTGCTGAGTTAGCCAGAGTGCACGACAGGGAGCACATGCCAGCTTTGTGCTCTGCGCTGGCCGAGGGAGGACAGACGATACCTGATCTGGCATCAAGTGAGCTTGGTGTGGAGAGGAGATATTGAACATGGCAGAAAGTTAAAGCAGGGTGGGTAAACAATATCTGATCTGGCAGAAGAAGCTGCTGGTACAAAGTTGGCCTGTCAGAAGCATTAAAATAAATTCAAAGCAGTGGAGTGAGTGCCACATGGCCAAAGTGTTTTTGCTGCAGTGTCAGGGGGCCCAGAGACAGATTTCCTGTGCTGTCAAACTCTGCACTTGGGAAAAGGGTGGGAAATGTCTGCCCACCCTTGCTGGCATGCCTGTCTGAGGAACAACACCGGGGTGGGTGAGGAGGCAAAGGACCGGGGATGATCCTTCAGCCCTGAAGGATGCAGACACAGACCTTGTTCAGCACTGCCCAGGTCCTGGCAGCTGTTTGACAGTGGATCCTGGTGTGACAAAGGGCTTCCCCCGGTGCAGGAGGTGGTGCTGGGAGGCTGAGATGGAGGAGAAGAAAGATGTGCAGCACTGCTGCCAGCACTGCCTCCGCAGAGGAGGGGGGATCAGGCTCCAAAGCCATCACCCTGCCAAAAACATCAAACTGACTGAAATAAAGTCCCGCAAGGAGAGGAAGCAAGCGAGCTGTCAGAAGTGAGAGAAACAACAAGCCCCCTGTACAGAATCATCCACAGACCACCCTTCTCCACTGAAGTGATATTTCTCCTTTCACCTGTCTCAAGTGGATGAAAAAAGTCAAAGTTTAGGCACTTGCTTCCTTTGCTTATACACTTTTGAGTGTTGGCCCTGTCTTTTCTTCCAGGATGGCCAGCACTGCCCTGGGAGATGCAGTCCCACAGCTCCTAGGAAATGGAAGGAGAATGACGGGGCTGAGTCGTCATGCATTATGCTGAATATTTACCCCTCATGCATGCTTTTTTATTTTAAATCTAGCGTGTAATATGCTTTGCATCTAGCGTGTTGCTCTTGTGTGTTTTTCCCTTGCCCTGCCTGTCTCTTGCTGGCAGCTGCCATCGTGAAACAAAAGGCAGCTGCCAGTTTGAGTGAACATCTCTCTTTCTCACTCACTCTTTTGCCTCTTGCTCTTGGAGCTGATGCAAAACCACTTCAGAGACTGGGTGGCAGGCACTGATGCAAGGGGGGTTTGCTGCCCTTGGGATGCTTGAGCATGCAGTGCCTCTGAGACTCGCTGCCAGAGCTCAAAGCCCTGTTCAAGCTCTTGAACCTGGCTCAGCAGTAGCCAAGAGACAAGCGGCTGTCGCTCTGCCAGCACAGCAGCTCAAGCTCTCTCCGTTGCAGCAATTGCCCATTTCACAGGATTTGATTATGCTGCTTTTGGCAAAGGTGATGGTTTATTAAATACCACTTTGGTCTTCTGCTCCAAGATGTGTAATCAAACACGGGGATCTCTTGCTCCAAACCGATGGTGTTCCTACATCATCTGAAAAAAACCTGAAAGAAACAAGATTGAACTGAAACATTTGGAGGAAGAAATTGTCCTGTGTCAAATTAAAGTAACATGGGGAGAAAGCAGGGTGAGATGCCAGGACCCAGACCCTCAGGCCAGCTGCGGGCCTTGCATGCTGCAGTCCTTTGGCCAGCGATTCTGTGCAGAGTGAGAAGCTGCTGTGTGTGAGAGTGCCTCCAAAACTCAACCAGGATCCTCATCCCTCGGCTCCTCTTATGACTCTGTAACTTCATGTTCTAGGAGCCTCTGGAGACCATCAGAGGGGCCAGTTCAGCTGTTTTTTTCCAGAGCTGGAAAGAGATATTTTTGCTTTTCTTAGGGAGCCTTTCCCCTGAGCTATAATGAAAACACGCTCTGGGAAAACAAGCTGAACTCTTGACTGCTGTAAATAGCCATGGGCTGGGGCACGCCTCTGGGAAGGGACTGTGTCCTGCTGGGACAGGAGCAGGGATTTGCTGGAGCTGTGGTCACTGGCATGTCCTCTGTATTTTATCTCTCTGGGCAGTGGTGAGGGGTCTGGGGAAGAGGGTGAGGCACAACAGGCAGGGAGGTTGTAAGAATTCAAGCAGGACTCCAAATGATAGCGTAAAATGAAAAAGCCAAGTAAATGCAAGCCTCAGTTCCAATCAGGAAAGTTAGGAAATGAGATCTGAAACAGCCTCCTGGGAGGCTGGTGTGTGCTGAAGAAGCATACTGAAATAAATTCTCATGCAAGCTGTATCACTGATTGTCAGAGAAACTGAGCTCTTGCTCCTTTCCTTTGTGGCAGTTTTCTTTCAGACAGCTCCTGGGTTTTTTGTTGCATGGCTTTCTCTTTTTTTTTTCCTTTTCTTTTTTTCTTTTTCAGAATAGGAATGGGTATTGTCATGTCACTCATTGTAAGCTCTTTTGTGGAAATTATGGCAATATGGACTTGTTCACAGGGACAATTTGGAAAGATCCTGGTTTGTCTGATTTGCCTGACATTGTTTTCCTAAAGCACAGAAAAAAGCCAGGAAAAGAAGCTGCAGAGGACAGGTCTGGAGTTCCTGAGGAGCTGTCAGGGCAGGTGAGAAATCACAAGTGCAGGTGAGAAGGTTTTGATTTTTGTAAATGAACAGGAAGTTATACTTCCCAAATGAAGATGATTTCCTCTAGATTAAGCAGGATTGCAAATAAACAAAGAATAAAAGTTTATGTCCATGAGCAAAAGAGGGCATCTGGCACTGCTTTGGGTGCTGACTTGTCTCTCAGAAAGGCAGGTGGGCACTGCAGGAAAACAGGAAACACTTCCACCTGAGCCATTGTAATCCCCCTCACCAGACTCCTGCATGAGCCTAGAGGTTTTCTCTGCTTCCAAAACTACACAGAAAGTAGAGTTTATGGAAATGTTTCCAGTTCGATGTATATGAGACACCCTCTAGTAAGTGGATTGGGAAGAAGCAGCAGCTTAAATGAACAGCTGGATGCCTTCAGGCTCCACTGCGGCCCCGTGCTCTTGTGCTCTGATGTGCCACAGTTGTGCTGTGAGAGCACCAGAGTCCCACTGCCAGGAGCTCTGTGGCTGTGACAGGACATGGGGCAGTGCCTGCCCTAATCCACTCAGTGGGTATAGCACAGGTGAAACAAGGTCCTGGTCTGAAAACTGTATATTTATTTTATTTCCTGCAACGCCGATGAGTTCACACAGCTGTGATAGGAAGTGGATGAGACAAATCCTTTTCCTTTGCCACCATCTGCATTGGCAAGCCAGGACTGACAGCTGGGCCAAATCCTGCTCCTGAATGTCAATCCTTTCCATTGCTTTGGGTTCTCCTCTCTGCCAGCTAAGGAGCTTTTCCTGATTTCCCTTTAGGGAGCCCTGTTTAGCAGTAATCCCAGGTTCTTGCTACATTTCCCCCCATGCTGCAGGGGCAGGATGCTGCTGGGGGCTCCAGTCCCCCTGCCCCAGGCACAGCTTCCTTCTCCAGCTCAAACTACATTGCTTAAGTGGCCTGCCCCTTTGCTTAAGTGATAATAAGCCCTTACAAAAGGATTCTAAAATATCTTCATAAAAGGCAGAAACACACAGCTCCTCTTTCTTTCCTTGAAAATTTTCGCCCAGATTTTCAGTAAGCCTGCCTTGGTCTGTGTTGTCTCCAGTCTCTGTTGAACCAGTCCTGCCCTGCTGATGGCTGGGGAGTTCCCTCACTGCCAAGGCAGCAGCAGGGAGGAAACCTGCTGTGCTCTGCTCTGGGTCTCTGCCTGGGACGTCTCAGCTCTTGCACCTCTGCCTCACCATCACTCTGGTTTCCCTCCTAGACCCTCTGTCCCAGGTCCTCTACAAAAGGTCCTCCCTGGCCCCTCTTTCTTCTTGTCCCCTCTCTGCCTGCTAACCTGCTGCCTGTGCTACTCCCCAGGCTGGGTTTCACCACTTTGTCCTCCCAGCGCACACTCTGTCACCTTGGGCACAGGGGCACTGGCAGAGAGCAGCCACAGGCTCCTGAGCAAGGCTGCTTCATTCTGTGGCAAACATCTCAGGGCCGATCTCAGAGCTCAGAAGGATCTGAGGGATGATCTTATAAAGGGAGGGAGGGTTCTGGCCACCGTGCATTGGGGTGGACACAGATCCTGGAAGAATTTACCTTGCTCCTGCCTGGATCTGTGCCACATCCTGGTGAGAGACACTGCTGAAAAACAGAGAATGAAAGCCACCTGCCTCCTTCTCCTTCTGACACTCCTTGCTCAGTGAGAAAGTAGCTTCTGTATGACTGAGTGCCCCTATGAAAGGGAGAGAAAATCACTCACTGCACTCAGATGGAGAGTCAGGAGTGACAATGAGGATGAATCGGACTTCCACCTCCTAAAACAATTCCAGAGTCTTTCTCTCACCAGGACATCAACCGAGAAAATATATTTCTTCTTCTACAACCCTTTACTTGCCACTTCTTCAGCTGCAACTAAGGTGTACCTGGAAACATAGAAGCAGCCTTTGCTGAAGCCCTTCCTGGGGGATGTTTTCAGTGGTCATTTGCCAAGCAAGGACATGAAGTTTCACTGCAGAGTCTCAGATCCCCCTCCTGCCCCCACTCATGTTCCCAGGCTACTGGGGTGGTGCAGGTCCTTTGGGACCTGCTCATTGCTATGTCCTGAGCCCTGGAGGGATCAGCAGCAGGTCATGCTGCTCACATCCTGAGATGCCCCCTGCCACTTTCTAGGGACTGAGCCTGGGGGTCAATATGAAGTTTTGAGGTCAGATGAGCAAAATCAACTCTCCTACCTTACCCTTTTGTGTTTTCAGCTTTTAACTAAAGCAAGTTGGGGTAACTAAAGCAATTCACTTTTGATCTCAGGGAGAAGGATTGGAGACCATTACAAGTTATGAATACCTGAAAACATTGGAGAAGACAACAGAAAATGCCAATTACTTCAATGCTGGAGGAGATCCAGACAGTCTGCATTCACAGTGGGACTGACAGCAGCCAGCCATGCAATCTGGGCTCCAAGCTCTCCTGCTCCACAGTAAAGTCCCTTCCAGAGACTGGAGTGGATGATGGCCTGGGCTGGGTAAAGCCCAGGTACACAACGAGATGTAAAAACCTTCCCAGAAAGCAAACAAGAGCAGACCCAGCACTTGGGAGCTCTGAGTTTTGAGGGTCTGGATCACACAGCTAGGGCAGGTTCACTTCCAAAATGTCCCAGCAATGGGAACCTTTCTGGGGGGCTTAGAGTTTACAGTGACAACAGGCTGCCACTCAGATGTGCTCTGCAGTGGGCTGTGAGGACACAGAGCTGAAGCAGAGCAGCAGTGAAGAAACCAAGCCTCAGCCATCTGTAAATCTCATCAAACCATGGAAATCCCCTCTTTTTCTCCAGTAAAAGGCTCTCTTGTGTTGGGAAGAGGAAGGCTGAGCCGTTGATCTCAGTGTTGAGGCATCCCTTTTAAGATTCCCTGTAACATCCCATTTCTCATCTCTGCCCCCAACCCTAGACCTGCCTGCCTCCTGGAAATGCACTGGCAAGGTTGAATTTCGAGGGCTCTCTTGTGTCTCTCACTTGCATGTCATCCCTCAAAGAGAAAGCAGGGTCTGGGGGGATCTTGAGGGCTAGGATGCAAACAGCCTGGTGGTTAGTGGGTGGTCAAAGCTTGCTCTCCCTGAGCTGGGCTCCTGCTCTGGCCAAGTCAAGAGCCCTGCTTGGCACGGCCTGACCTCTCTGCGATTCCAGCTTCCACACTCAGCACCTGACCTGTGGAGTTTTCATTAAGAAGATGAGAGAAGGGCGGGTAAGAAATCCCCACAAAGCCTCCTACAAAAAGCCAAACTTCCCAAGCCAAAGCCAATAAAAAGCTTCCCAGCTGTTCCTGATCCTCCGAGCCAGCTCGGGCTCCGCAGGCAACAAAACCCTCCCGGCGAGGCGCGGAGCCGCGGGCGCCGGTGGCCGTGGGACGGGGCCAGGGACCCCGAGCTCGGGCCCCCCTGCGGGTGTCCCGTCTGGAACGTGGGGCCCAGGGAAGCGAGAGGTGCCTGAGAGAGGGCTGACTCAGCGGGAGACAGCGGTTTGTGTAACCTCCAGCAATCCATTATTACAAAGGGGCTTTCAGGAACTCCTCCGTGCCAGGCACAGCGAGGGTTATTGATTGAGGAGACAGTGCAAATGCACAGAGAGGCTCCATCCATTAGGGCCGCTGCTCTCCACCAATTAGAAAAAAATCATTACTCAGCAGCCATCAATGGGCTCTGCGCAGCACTGGAGTGCATGCATTCAATCTATCTTCTCCCACCTCCCTGAAAACTTAATGACAACTATTAGAGCTCCGCTGAATGCCCGGTGTGTACAGAAGCAAAGATTCATTTGGTAATCTTAGTAATTACGACGCCATAGGAGGACACATGCTAAATTCAAACAAGGGTGTGAGGGGGAGCTGAGGGGGGAAGAGCCTGAATTCCTGTGTTGTGAAAGCCCTTGTCTTGCTCAGCCTCCCATCCCTTCCCACTCACCTGCTGCCTTCCCTCCCCTTCTCCCACAGCCTTTCAGGGCTTTCTGGGCTCACTTTTCTGCTTTTTTTTTTCACCCCCTCCCCAAAGGGGAAACATCATTTTGGGAAAGTAAATTGAAGTGGGGTGACTTGGAAAAGGTTTGAGACCTCTGGATGAGGCACAAGCCTGGCAACGCTGTTTGACAGCACTGCCCTGAATGATCGGGGAGGCAAATTCCCATTTACAAAAGCCCATGGAACTGTTCTGGAGCCCTGCTGGCATTACACAGGCAGGGTGCAATTTATTTACTCTGCCACAAGCCTCTCCCAACCCCCCCCCCCCACCCAGCCTTTTCATTTACACTCATCAGGACTGAGACCCTCGTCTCCCCGCTTGCCAATGCGTGTCACTCCGAGTTATGGGCAAAGCAAAGTCCCAGGAGGGAATTTTTGGAAGAGCTCAAGGATAGATGTGACACGTCATTGAAGCTGAAAGGAGCAGTTACTTACAAGCGGTGGAGCTTTTCACGGGCCTGCTCTTCTCCAATCCAGGAGGAGGGAAGCCATCATTATCTGAGGGGCACTGCCGTGCTCATCAGCAGCCAGAGCCCGTCAGTCACGGCGGCGTTCAACACCTCACCTCCAGCACAGGAACATCCACCACACCCCTGGACACCGTGCAGCTGGCACTTCTCATCAGGGTAAGGGACAGCTAAAAGCACAACATTCCTGCTTCCTTTTTAGTACAGGAGCTGATGCTGCCAGGGCCAGCTTGCACAGCAGCAGCGGGTCCCAAGGGGAGGATCAGCAGTGAAGGAGAAGACGAGGTGCCAGTGCCTGCTTCAGTCCAAGCTTGCAGGCTGACCTTGCATAGAGAAGATGGCTCACCACATCTCTGTAGCCACCCTCTACTTGTCTGGGCTCAAGACATTAGCCCTGAGCATCACAGCTACAAAAAGTCCTGATAGCAATAAAGAGTGCTTAATTTTCAGCTGGGCTTAAAACCATGACAACAGCACAAGGCGTCTTTGAACTTTGCTTGTACTCCTTGATCTTCTTCACATGGACTCATTATAGGAAGAATGCAGAAGTTCCTACAACACCCAGCAGATGGAAAAATATGTCAAAGGCAAAATAGCACAGACAATCATAGGAAAATCAGGAATAAAGGGAAGCAAATCCCAAAGACTCTACTCAATTTTTATTTTGGTTTTACTCAGGGGAGGTATTTTTAAGTTCAGCAAGATTTATTAAGCACAGAGTGAAGGCCTCAGACTTCAGTGGGTTGTTAAGGAAAATGTAACCTCCAAACTTTCTGAGAAATAAAAATAGAAGGTATTAAAGTATTCAGTGGAGAGAATAATCTTTCTCTTCCGTCTATGAAGTATGAGAAGGGCACTAAGGGAAAGGTTACTCATCTGCCATGCTACACAACTTAGGACAGGCAGAGAGAGCCCTTTTGCTGCTGAAGGCCAAACAGTCTTTCAGAAACCTTGGGTAAGTAATGTATTAACATTCTCCTTAATGTTATCCAGCAACAACGGTGAACAAACACAAGTGGCTACAAGCCACCTGCAAAATGCTGCTGCAGCCTGTGTCTGCCCCGGTGTACCCTCTCACAGAGGGCTGTGGATCACATGGCAGGATGTACCCTTGTAAAGTCAGCAGATGTGACTCTGCCCTGATGAACCTCTTACATCAGCAACTAAGTGGCTTTTAATGTTCAAGTTTATTAAATAAAGAATGAATTCTCAGCCAAGCAAAAGGGCACATCTTGGTAAAATGCAGTGACAAGATCGGCATGTGCAAGGCGCCAGGAAGAAGAGGAGAGGGACTGCATCACAAAACCTTCCAATGCCCTCTCATGTTCCTGCCCCAGTGCAGTGGCACAAGGCACAGCCCCCCTCCCTTCGTCTGGGGAGAGCCCCTGTGGCAGGGACGCTGGGAAAAGAGACCCCACAGCAACCAGATCAAAAGACAGGTGTCCCCATGATTCCTATCCAGCCATCCCTGACCTTGAGACATCCAGTGTGAATCAGAGCCAGGAAGGGCAACGTGTGAGAGCCCATCTGATCTCCTGCTGACGGGGAAGGTGCTGGCAGCCACCACGGGCTGTGGATCCGGCCATCTGCCACAGACACGGGGAGCTGAGTGGAGGTCCAGCTGGCAAACTGGCTGGAGCCTGGCTGGCCTCTGAAAGAGTGAGGAAGGCCCACAGATGGTCCCAGGAGAACAAGGAATTGCTCAGACATGGAGTTTCTTTCTGTGCCTCTGGTACATGATGGAGACCAGGCTCTCAGGTGAGCCAGGTGAGATGTTCTGCTGCTCAGGTAGAATGTTAAGTTAGAGGTCTAAGCACCATCTTGGCCCTTCTCCTTATTACCAAAAGCCATGGAATTGCTTTCCCTGCTTAGCCAGGAGCAGGCAGGGCTGGGCTCTCTGGTATGTACAGAGATTTACTTACCTAAAAGCCTTGACCACTGCCCTTTGGTATTCCTTGTGAGGACCTAATAATGGGAAGAGGGTGAAAGAGCAGGTACTGAATCTGGACATTTTCTAAAAACTGCAGGCTCTGGAGGATGAAGGAGGATATATCAGATCCTTTGACCAGGGGGCACTTGTTATGTTTCTGTGACATTGGTGCTCAGGGAATGGTGTACAGAATGACCACCTAGAAATACATTTGCTGAGCTATTTTCTTGAACTACAGAGTCACTTGGGCACCATCATCAGAAGGAAAGCCATGAGCTCCTTTACGAGGAAACTATTGATAACTCCCTCAAAGAGGAATCTTAAAGCTCTAGGCCCATTTGCTGAGCCTCCTTCTCCACATTAAGAGTGATTACAGTATTTAAGGAGTAAGGACAGTAAGATTTAGGGTCATAGTTTAAAAAACTCCCACTCAAGAATGACACAATGCCAAAGATGGAGAAGAAGCACCCATATTACAACAAATACTCAAAATATGGCAATTTCACAGGTTTTCCATGGTCAAGACTATTTTTTTCTTGACTGTCTAAACAAAAAAATGGCTCCACCATACATCAGCAGAATGAAAACACTGCTGAGATGTTTCTCAGTGTGTGCCTGGGTATCCAGAGCAATTTAATCTCCAAGGTTTTAATTCATATTAAATGATAGATGCATGTCCTGAATGTCTTCTAATGAGATGACATTTGCCCAGATTCTCTTCCTTTAATACCACATCTGTTCAAAGAAGCTGGAACAAGAAATCTGCCCAGGGGCTACCTACAGATATAAGACAGTGTTTTGAAACTGTACGGTGTCCTTTGTTGTTTTTCAGGATGCTCTGGATGATGCATTTTTGGTGTATTTATTTACATTTGGAATAAAGTCCTCTTGGTGGTCCTATCCTATCCCATTTGGAAATACTTCAATTGGTGCCTCTTGTGGCTTCTTTTCAGAGTTCTCTTGCCTTTCATTTTAGACTAAAAAATATTCATGAATTCTTAGATATTTCTTGGTGATTAAACTGCTCCTTCTGGGTCCCTGAAACATTTTTGTCAGAGAAAATATTTCTGCTATGACAGACCAGACCTGAGCCTCGTTTTGGTGGGATCATTGCTTAGGTGTCTTCCCCTCAACACTTTCAATATTTACAAGCTCTCTCTTAGCTGCAATATCTTTCCCTTTCTCCTAGAAAAGCATGTCCTCTTTTCTATAATTTCATTTTGCCACCTACTGATCGTTTTCCTATCTGTCAGCCATTTCCAACTCCCTCTCATCTCATGCTTTCTCTCATCCCACTCCACTGTGCTTTTGTCAGTCATTCCTTGTCTTCCCTAGCTCTTCTTCTGTTTCTGCACCTTCTGCTTCCCTCCTTTGCCATCAAGGCATCCCTCTTGTAACAGATGTCCCTCTGCCTCCTCTGCACTGTGACTGTGTCCCACAAGTACCTGAGTTGTTACTCTTTGTAGGTCTTCTCATTTTCTTATCTTCTCTTGGCCCTCATCAGAAGTACCCGAAATGTCTGTTGTTCCTTTGGATCAAAGGCAAAGCCACCCCAGCACGCCCCAGTCCTCTCCCAGTGTGAGCTGCCTGGGGAGAGAGCTGCAGCTCAGGGGGAGGATGCAGCCCCATCCCTCCTCAGCACAAGGAAGGACCTTCCTGGCCTTGAACCCTAAGGAGAAGAGGAGGAATGAAAGACAGGCTGGCTCTTTTCAGGCTTGTCACCTCTGCCTAGTTGCTGTTCTTCACGTTCCCCAGCCTGCCCTGCAGATACCAGCTATCATTTACCTCAGATCATTCAGACAATCAACATCAATCAGTTACTCTCACCTCTATTTACCTTGGGGAGATTGTTGCTTCTATGTCAGACCTGAACAATTGCTTGCATTCCCTAAAGATGGGTTGTTTTCCTCAGATTCACTACTTTGTTTAATGAAAGGTGCTACCTGTGCCTACATCTCTTAGACCCTTTTTGGCAAAGACACACTGAGGTACAATTTCCCTGGCTTCAAGCCATCTTTCTGGAAGCAACATCCCTGTTCTGTCTCTCCTGCTGGTGAAATTCCTGTCACTGGAAGGGCCCCTACCACACTGCCATGAACAGTAACAGGTCACACATCAGCTGTCTAGAAAACCAGGCAGAGAGTCTCCTTCCAGCTGAGATATGAGGACTACCTGCTGCCAAAGTAGGAGAATACTTCCAAAGGAGTTGACTGGAAAATATTACTGCCACACTCATCCCAGTGCTCCCACGGGGTTTGAAGTAGTGATGGTCAATGCAATTAGACCACGGCAGGGTTGCAATCTGACAACTGTGCTCTACTCAATGCTACCAATATTACTGGGGGCTGAGGCCACAAAGCCCACGAATCTCATTTTGTGTTCTGCTTTGTGTCTCTCCTCTGCTGGCTGTAGGGAGTCCTTATCTGCATGGAGACTGGCCTCTGCTGCTCCTCTTTTTCCCTGCAAAGTTGGAGGTGGGCAAAGCCCATGGGCAGGCAGGATACCAAGGGGAGAGTGGGTGAGGGAGAGGATTCCCCTGAGGAGGGGAGTTGCCAGGGTCTGAGAGTTGGGGTGTGAGGGGAAAGAGAGGCTGCACCAAGCCTCCAGTGCCACGTGCTCCACAGGCTCTGCCAGGTGATGCAGTCTCTCAGGAAGGGATTCACTGCCCCTGGAAACTGAACTAGCTAAGCAGTAAGAACTAGGGAGGGATAAAAAGTGAGGCTTGTCTTCACCTGGACCTTCCCAGCTTAAACTTTTGTCCCAGAGGCTCAGCAAAAGCATAATACTTGATGGGGCTGTGGCCCTTCTCTTGGTATCGGTTCATGAAAGATTCAAATGGCATTGTCCACCTACAAAGCTTTTGCAGAATGGATCAGTTTTCCTATGTGCCTGACTTGACACACATTCCCTGACCACTTGGAGGTCACAAATTTAATTAAACCTCAGTGAATAGTAGCAGACCTCACAGAAATAAAGGCCTTAATCCAATCAAGCCACATTTGTACTCCCTGTACAGCATCAAGCACGACCAAAGCAGAAGGGACAGACCGTGGCGAGCTAGAAGGGCCCCAAGAAGTTGCTCTGTACAGCGCCATTTATGGATGATAATGTGATTGTGACACTTGCAGACAATACCAGCAATTTCTCAAACAGGAGGTCCAAGGCTTGGTATTATCACACTCAGCAAGTGCCAGAAACATGGGAAA